CCGAGTCTCCTGCTCGCGCCTGTCCGTCTCACAGCCGCTGTCCCTGACTTGCAGGCGCATGCCCAGCCTCCTGGAGTATCTGAGTTACAACTGCAACTTCATGGGCATCCTGGCCGGGCCCCTCTGCTCCTACAAGGACTACATCACCTTCATCGAAGGCAGGTCATACCACGTGCCGCGGTCGGGCGAGGATGGCCGAGAAGCGCCCCCCTGCGGAGGAGCCGAGCCGTCCCCAAATGTGAGAGCCCGGGGCTCCGGAGCCCGCGTCGCGCGTGCTGAGGGTCCTGTTCATTTAAAGATACGAATGTTTTCAAGTTTGGGTTTTTTTAAATACGTTTTTTTGACTTCAGAGAGGAAGGGAGAGGGAGAGAGAGAGAGAGAAACATCAATGCTGAGAGAGAATCATGGATCGGCTGCCTCCTCCACGCCCCCCACTGGGGATCGAGCCTGCAACCCGGGCCTGTGCCCCTTGATCGAAACCGAACCTGGGACCCTTCAGTCCGCAGGCCGACGCTCTATCCACTGAGCCAAACTGGTTAGGGCCGAACGTTTTCAAGTTTTGAATTGACCCATCTGTTTCTTTAAAAATATTTTGCTATCCCTGGCCCGGTAGCTCAGTTGGTTAGAGGATTGTCCTGATTTGTCAAGGTGTGGGTTCATCACTGCCAGGTAGGGCGTATACAGGAATCAACCATTGAATGCATAATAAGTGGAACGACAAAAAATCTCTCCCCCACCCCCTTTGCCTCTTTCTTAAAAAATATATTTTGCAAGAGAAATGCGTCTTCGCCCAGGACCTGGCGGTGATGCTTGGTGGAACTAATCAGATAGAAGAGAAAGAGGTAACTTAGGAAACTCCCCGTCCCTACGTGAGAACAACGCTTTCGAGCGAGGTGTGGAGTCTTCCAGGAGCCGCCCTAACTGCCTGGGGTTCCCCCTGAGGCTTCGTGTTCCAGCCAATTCCGAGTGCTCCCCCCCTCCCCCTCCCTCGCCCGCTGGCATCTCCCGCCTCTGAAAGCCTCCTTCCAGCAGCACCTCTTCCACAGCCCTTTCCCATCCCAGCGATGGAAGAGCAACCGCCAGCACTTGGACCGCACGGCCCACGTGCCAGGCGCTGTCTCGGGCTCCATGCACTTCCTCCTCCCGCGGCCGGTGCTCTCGTGCCTGCTGTGTAACAGGCAGGAGGCTGAGACGCGGGCTCAGGGGGCCGTGGGGGTCAGGAGCTCAGGCCCAGCTGG